GCCATGTGAGGCGGCAGGCCTGGCCAAGGCACCGATTAAACGTAAGAGGACTTATCACCTGCAGCTATCAGGATACATACAACAACCAGAAAGACATTTTTGGCAAGGGCATCTTTAAAAATAAACGGTGAGAGAAAACAGACCACTTGACAGAAGGAAGCAGCTACAATTCATTGACATTAACTACAATCCATAAAACTGCCAGTGTCTAAATAATCTAAAGTATTAGCAGTTTTGGTATGAGGTCACATTTGCTATGACTAACATTACTGTTTTTAACTTTCACTTTGACGTTTGAAGACTAGAATAACTGATCCTCAGTCAGCGTCACCACAGATTAAAGGAGTTAAAACACAGACAAAAGATGAGAATCATCCCTCAGTTTGATCAGATGATTATAAATTCCCTAGTGATGTAGCATTTTTAACTGACCTTTGTTACATTCCATTCAGACTTAAACTTAGAAATTCTGTTTCCTTAAAAGTGGAAGATAACTGAAAGACAATCAGTCTTCATCTGGTTGGTTTCAGCTAACTGGATGTCTGTCTCAGTTCTACAACTCGTCTAGCAAGATGCTCCGAATTGCATTTGTAATCAAACAGGATTTTGGCTTTTAAATGGCTCAGTGAGTACAGTAAATTAGCTTAAGATAAATCCGACAACTACATGATTTATACGACAAAATAAGTTCTTGTCAAAGCACTGCTGAAGCTCCAGGCTGTTACCTGTGCTGGAAGCGTACATAGCGGATCATTTGAAAACAGCCCAATTCTGCAAAACAGTTCCCGATTCATAACCATCTGCTCATGTGACAGGTTTGATTACCACCCAGAAATTCAATAAAATCTTTTACAGGTCAGTAAATACCAGAGATGTCAGTTTGGAATCTGGTTAAATGGAGTGGAGTTACTCAATCTTGCAATGAGGCTCCGCAGCACAGGTCACAGTATACAAGATACTACAGCATGCTCAGCCTGAGAGGATTACTAAAGAAAAGAAATCAAGAGGAGCCAATCTGAGGAGCAATGGATGGGAGTACTTTCACACGTACAAGTGTCTATGCAAAGAATCCATTCTCACCTTGATGTGGCTGAAAGAGTGAACAGACACCAGAATGTGTATGTGTTACTGACAGAGCAGCTGAGGCGTGTGAACATTTGGAGCTGAAACCTACTTCTAGCTACACTCAGCCTTCAGTATCCGATGACAGATCTAAATGAACGGGAAAGACATCTACCAAGTGTCCTGGAACACAGAAAATACACATCCAAACCAGAATCTACACAGAGTTCAACTAGTTTGAACTCCATTTGTGATCACAGGGCCAGTACGGGCCAGCTGCTGATAAGAAAGCTGCAAAGAGCAGGACCCGGTAAAAGTCCTCAGTCTGAGATGTTTTGTTTGTTATCTCACGAGAATAACAAAAAATGAAAATGAAATAAAAATAAGAAGATAATTCTCACTAGAATTGGAGTTTCAGCATTTTGATTTAAACCCAAGGGTAAAGATTTATTATCTGTGAAACTATCTGCAGGCTAGTTTTCTCACTTACACTCCAGACTCGCAGCATGTACATGCAGAGTCTTACAGAGACGTCTTTGTGGAATTAAGCCGTCTTCCTGCTAGTCTGCTGCTGCACAGACGTGAGCTCCAGCTGGCCTGCGTATTGTCAACAGCAGACTCTGTCCGGGATACTAAGTGGTTTATTGCATTATCAGAAAACATACACGCATCAAGGATATACACTCATAGGATGTGCGTTGGGTTTTGCACAACACCTCTCGGCTGAGATCATGATTGATCTGTGCTATATTCAGGGGACCCGGTTTGTAAAGCTGGCAACATCACTCTGCATCTTCCGCTGCTCTATTCCTGGCAGAACAAGTAGCTGGGGCTAAAAGCGAAAGCCTGCCGATAATAACAACCAACACCGACACCATCCGGTCCTAAATTTGTTTCAGCTCGCAATTACAGCTTATTTGATGTCTAGGTTTTTTAAATGGGCACAGTTTTCCTGTATGCTATGGGGCAAGGGGAAAAGATGGGAAAATAAGTCAAGATTATTACTGAATTAGGCAACTGGTCCTTATTTTAAAAAAGTAGTATGAACTAGTAAATCATATATATCTGCTAAAGGCAACAAACCGTACAGCAAAAAAACGTGCTAGATGAAACTGTCACCCTGGTTTGTGGTATTACCTTCAGATTTGGATAGCCTGACTGAAATACCATCAAATAAACTGTTGTTTTCTACCCACCTGAGCAATAACAGTATTGAAACTTATTTACATGCACTTGCAACAACACATGACATCAGCGTCATGATCCTCCATTTCCATACAAGTGTGTGTGTCCCACACTAGCATTGGGAGAGGGGGAGGGGGTCATGTACACCCCAAAGTGCAGAGCGGTGGTAACATTACCACTGACAGTCTGGGCTTGACATTCCCAGTGGTTTGATTCTCCCAGGCAGAAAACCTCAATATTTTAATTTAATCCCCAGAGCAGTCATTTAGCCACTCCGTAATCCCCAGGTCCAGTGCTTAGTCTGATAATTACCCTTATTGGACACCCATAATGATTAGTCTTTGGTTTCACCCAAAGCAGTGCATGCAGTTTCACAGGACGGTCGCATCGCTCTGTGCAGTGGAAAACCAATCATGCATGGAATAGCCCAGGTCATAAGAGACACAAGAGAAGTATGATTATTACTTTGCATGACAGCTGACATCCCCTGGACAGCAAAGACTACGTGACTTTCATTTCTTAGCGTTAACGTTAGATAGTAGAACAGGTGGTCATGGTGTCAACAATCAAATTCAGGAAGCAAGGGGGCATACACTGGGAGTTTTACCCTCCTGAGAGCCAACTGAGCCAACTTTGAGAATAATTCCCCAGGATGAGGCAGTAATTCCAGGGAAAATTAAGCATCTCAGTTTTCAATGTGCTGATACTCTCATTTGATTTTCCCTTTGTGTTTCGCCCCACATTTCCAAGCAGACAGCAGAAAACTGCATCAATTCCCTCCACATGCAGTGCAACGATCCGACCCGAAATGCCAAAGGCAGGCCTTTTTTAACGTCTACCCATGACCAGCTCCCATGAACGGGCCTGTGCCCACAACAGCATAGGCTGGCACCTCATTGGTATGAAGTACAGCTGGCTGGGAGGGTGAGCCTTACTGGAAAGTCATCAGGGATTTTTTATTTTTTTTGTCTCTCATGTCTGAAACAGGTCAAGGCAGGTCCCCTCCATCTCCTTCCCTCCCCACGCAGCTCTTTACGAGCCCCACCTGGCAAATTAGGACTCCACCATCACAACTACCTTTTTCTGCCGCTTACACGTGCACAAACTCATCTGCTGGTGTTCTGGAAAGTGAGCACAGGGCACATACTGTTCAGACTTTGCCACTTTGTTTTTATATGAGCATATGTAGGCCAAGCGGCATGACACATTCCATCGCACCAGAGAGAAAACAAACACAGATACTCAAACAAGGATGTCTCGCAGCACCGGTCATTTAGCAAATAATTCAAATAGGACAATGACTTGAGTCAGCCTCTGTTAATTTGGGCCATGAAATGACAGAAAGCTCAACCCATTTTCCGATGTGTTGCTTCTTGCCAGCTGTAAAAACGGACACTGTTAAGTTGGAGGTTTTGGTATGTCTGTCCCTTCTGTCTTGAGATGGCAAACAGATCTGGATTGTTGGGGATCGTTATTCACATAGGGATCGATGCACAGGTTGATGTGAAAATAATTCAGTTTCCTGTCAGCTGCCAAGTGGCTTTAACAAGGAGCTGGTAAGTACAGTCTGAAGGCTTAACCGGATATTTAACTCCTCACCTCTGCTGTATGGGGACTTTTTGGATGTGCACCCTCTTACTTGGCAGAACCAAAATATGAGCAAGTTCAGTCAGGAGACTTGTGTTATGCCATGGTTATCTAACAACTAAAGCAAACACAATGTCCTGTCGTCTTAGGTGAGCTGTGCTGGTGTGGACATTTAAAAGGAGATTTTTGTCGTTTTGGTCCCACTGTGTCTCAGCTTATCTTGCCGCTGCACAAACCCCAAAGAAGCCGAACGACGTTGACTTAAATTACAAAAATTCCCTAACATTCCTGACATCTTAGAAACAGGGGAAATCCAGCAGGGACGGTCTGAAAGAGCACACAGAAAGGTAAGCTTCCCTCCCATACAGTGGCCAAAATATAAGCTACATGAATGTCTACAGGAATACGCACAAGCCGCCTACGCACCAACTATTGGGGGCTTTTAACGGCATGTCCTGAACAAACTAAGCATCAAACGCAGCAGCCTGGATGTAAACGCCGACGTTAAAACACGGGCAAGCACCAACTCATTTTCAACCAGGGTGCCTCAAATTACACGGGAACCTCATAAAAAACCTGCCACGTCTTACGGAAAACTGATTATAAGGGATTTATCGCAACATTTCAACCACCTGAGGTTTTTTCGCCGCAGACCTGGATGCTTCCGTTGGCGAGCTGAGCGGGGAGGAGGAGGAGGAGGACGAAGAAGACGGAGAGGAGGGTCGAAAAACTTGCCGCAGTTCAGACTTCTGCAGTCGCAAGTGGCTTGGTCCAACTCAGGAAGCCGTTGTCCCGAGTCCCCCAATCACATTTCCACCCAACACAGAAAACGCTCAAGCATAAGGAGTCAAATTTACCTCAACGGCTAATCCACAACTTCAAACGGGTCGGGCTCGTGCGGACGGTGGGACTCGCTGCAGCCGACACGACCAGGACAAGTTCATCCACATATTCTTCAACAAGACCAGAGAGTTGGAGGCAACGGAGGGGGGTTGGTTTTTTTTTGTTTCCCTCGTCCCCTAAATCCCTTTCGTTGGTCCTTTCCTCACTCGGATATTCCCCTCCCTGGTCCGTTTGAGATCAAACCATCACATTCCTCTGCGTCCTTAACAATGAAAAAAAGGTGGGTTTTCCTTTTCTGTTGCCGGAGGACCCACCCCTTCGGGATGACTCTGCCCGGTCTGACCGCAAAGAGAACGCCCTTCCCGGCTTCAAGGTCCCGCCCCTCGCTCCCACTCAACTGCACGCAAGTGTGGCCAATGAGGAGGAATCAATCCAAGGACTGAGATTATGGACTTCTTGACAACTTTGTTTCACCGACCAAAACATTGTCACTTAAACACACACTCTCCAGCCCAACATTTATGATGTAATGATAGCAGAGGTACAATCAAAAGTCATACTTAGACAACATTTTTACCTTAACAACCCCGAACTATTAATTCTCACAATTGATCCTTGATCCTACTCATGACAGCAAGCAAAGCAATGCAATATTTAATCTAACTTTGATACAGTGACATCATGTGGTAAGGACAGTAGCGGTATTTACAATAAACATCATATTCTAATACTGAGTGTGTTTGTGCTATAGAAAGTCAGATATTGTTACTGTCCAAAGGGAAATCAAGATTACTTTCAAATGATCTATTTCATGCTGATCGCTGTTTGATCATAGATCATGTTGGAAAGGTTCATTCAAAACTTGAAGGAACACAGCAGTAATTCAGTCTAATACTGGAACAGAGGTTTATTGTTTACCCTGTTATTGCAGCATGATTATGGGGGGTATGTAAATCCTCCTTTCTTTGTTTTTATTGCCTTTTAGTCATTTAAGAGTGGAAATTATTCAAACACCCTCTTACACTTTTGAATTTGATAAGCTTTCAAGAAACCAGGTGATGTTTTGCTAATGCAGATCGATAAAGAGCCTGCACGCAAACTCTGAAGGGAAACTTTAATGCAACATTTCTGTGTCAGGACTTCTGCTGGAAAAAAAGCTAAAAACTCAAAAATCTAATTTTCATCTGTTACCTTGACAGTGTGATGAGTCACTCATTATAGTCCGGCAGTTGAGCTTTCATTTTCCACACCTTTAACATACCTCTTTCACAAAAGAACCTACTGTTCTGATCATGTCACTTGACATAAAGGGTTAAGTGAAGTATAAATAATGCTGTCATCCTCTACAGGTGGAGAAAGATGCAAGAGATACCAAATGATCAAAGAGGTATCAAATCCTTTCAGAGGCAGCTGCAAGTTGAAGGCATACCCTGGCATGCCCAGACACTTTAACGCACAGCTGCAAAGCTTAGCATAAGTGTGGGTGAACATGATGTACGAGTGACCAAACATTTCTGATTAAACTGTATTTGAGTGTAGTTTGTAGTTTTTTTATTCTAAATTTTTCACAGTGTAAGAAAAAATAAAGACACATTAAAAAAAGATTGGATTTATAAAGGACCAGAGTACAAATAATCCATCAAGGCATAAAAAATAGTGAGATGACATTTATGTAAAGCCATGCACAGAAAATGATTATTTCATAAGGATGTGTATGAGCCATGTTTCATCCATCTTAAGGCCTTTGGCTCATGCACAGACAAATTTCTGTCATTTTGGAAACTTGCCTGAATATATCAAATCATATGAATGTGGATGCATTACACAGACTGCACTCTCCACCAAAGAGGTTAGGAGTTTCAGGGAATGCTATCCTTCTGCCCTGCATACTGCAGCACACACACATACACACACACACACACACACACACACAGCAGCTGATTCAGGAAGAGCAGGTTTCTGTCCAACATCCTTCCTAATCACAAACATCCTTCACCAGCCAGGATTTTGTTTGTTCCAGTAAGAATCGGTAAGTACATCCCACTTCTCTGACATGTTGTCTTGCAGAGTGTGATGCAGCCACTGACCTATTTGAAAATCTCTGACAATTATTTGTTGATCACTAAATGTATCAGCTCACTAAATCAGAAGCCGCCATTCGAAGCAAAGGTCAGGGCCTAGGTCAACAGTCACCTGAAATATTTTGTGGTCTACATGATGAACATGTGAAAAATAGAATGAGTCCACAGTGAAAGGATTTTATATGACAATATGGCTTGTGCTGGAGCTTTCCGACTCTACCTCAATTTCATGGCGTGGATAAGGATTAACGTGCATAATGCACTGTCCCCACAGGGTGGGTTATGGCCAGTATTCAAACAGATGTAAATCTAGTGGATCAAAATGTGGGGCAGCTTATCATGTCAGGAAACATGCGCTTATCCAACGACATCGGGCTCATGCCATGGTTTCAAAGGACCATTTAAAAAGACAGCACCTCTTGTATAACAACATCATGTGAAACTCGGTTGCTTGGACTGTCTTTTCCAATGAAATAAATGTTAACTGACTTCCCACCGCTTATGAAATTCTGATATTTGAGGTTGTTATGTCTTAATTTGGAAACACACAGAATGTCCCATGAGACGGTTAGAGAGCTCCAAATCCTTTGAAAGTCTTGACTTACTGTCAGGTCCTATATCATCTTGAAGTACAGATGTCTCGGCCTGTCTAGTTCACCCTCCCATGCCCCTCTCGTTCTCACTGCAGGGGGACATTCCTCAATCCTCAGCCTCTGGCATGCAGTAAATCTGCCTGAGAGAGACCTACACGTCTCAAGTCTGCCAGGAACCCTTTGCCAGGCAGGACTTGTTGCTATTCTCATTTCTTAGCCCCTCTTCTTTTCGGTCTGCCCTCCTGTTCGGCAGACTCAGAGCCTTCCTCTAGAAAATGCCCAACCTGGACATTGTGTTTCTGCCGCCAGAGACAAAGTGCCTCTAGGTCAAGCTGAGGTGAAGGTGCAACTGTGAAAAGGTGTTAATGGGATAAAAGGAACACCAGTCATGCTGCACACACCCTTTCCCACATCATCACTCTGACTTCTGACTTGCTCTTCCCATCCTGTATTGAAAAAAGATCATCAAATACTTGGCAGCGTTCCCTCTTTTTGTCTCTGCACACCTGGACTTAAAGTACAAACACTCCTTAAGAGGAAAGATTCCTTGGACTGAGCTAACGCAGCAGTGCAAAACATCAGCAGTCACCTGCGAGAACCTGTATCTGATTATTCTTTTTTTTTCTTGCCTGGCCATACAGGGGAATCTGCGTGAAAAAGGAGTTCAGGCATGCAGGCAGAAGCCAGATGAAAGTATAAAGTCTGTGAAAGAATTTGCGAGCTGTATTTGCACTACAACTGTTTAACATTTCCAACAAAACTTCTAAAGTTTCAGTTGTACTGCTCAGGATTTATATCTGTCTTTATTCATTTCTAAATTGGTAATTCATATGAATCTTTATATTCATAAGAAAGCAAACTTTATATGTCTATTTATATCAGTATAGACCAATCCTCATGGTTAAGCTTGCTTTATTGTTGCTAGATCAAACAAAGTTTAGGGCAAAGACTAACTCCTTGTGATTTTTTGATCATATCAGTGACAACACTTTGAGCAGGGAACATAACTTTGCCTAGTTGAAAGATTGGAAACTTGAGCATAGCTATCCAAGTCGATAAACAAGCACAGCTTTTTTTCATACCCACTTATGGCATCAAATACTCCAGTTATGTCACAACTGGTAGAGTCTGATGCATACTCTACATGTGGGTGGGAGTGGGTGCAATGAACGGATTAAGCTTCAAGTATTTGTAATTTTTTCAAGCTTCTCTCAGCAATGACTGCATAAACTCATCTTTACCACGTGAATTAAAATCATGTTTTTTTATGATATTAAACCATAAAGCACCATTAGGTGATAATAAGGCACCTATTGTTCCATGAACTTGTACTGGAGTCCAGGATGTAAAAAACTAGTGTCAACTGGCACTAGTCTTCACTTAACCTAGACCACTTGTCTTCTGACTGTGGGAAATAACAGGATCCAAGAGAAGCAACACAAAGGAAACTTTACATAAAAAAGCTCACACAAACTGTTCAAATGCAACATATATCCAGCAGGCTACTGTGAACCATCTCACATAGGCTGCACTCCATGCCATCACGACAGAAACAAATCTGGCCAACTAACTGGGGAATGTTTTGAATCCACACCCAAACCGTGTGTTGCATGTGAAAAGGTTTTTTACAGTTTAGATCTGTATGCCCACCAGTGGCGAAGCAGATCTGGCAGTCACACAACCACCAAAAAGCTCTGCTTTCTTGCTCCACTGCCAAGCCATAATAACAGCAATAAGGTTTGGGTGGCTCGTTAACCCTAATCCAGGAATTATACTGTGGCACCAGAGAAAGGAGGATGTGTTGTGTTGTGTAGTGAGGTTGTACATGGAAGGTGGAATTAAACCTTTACCACAGAAGTGGGTGGTGCTGCTGCATCAGACAGTAAGAGTGGTGGTGAAAACTGTTCATTGCAGACAGAACCAAGCAAAAAAAAAAAATCACTTCCTGGAGGGACAAATGTGTTTCTCAATGACTCTCTAGCTCCATCGTGTGGTGAGATGTCGTTACTGCCGACCTTGGCCGATGAGGGCTACAAAACGTCCTCACAGCTTTCAGCAGGAGTGAGAAAAGAGGGGAACTTAGACAGCAGTTTTAAGTTTTTTTTGTTTGATTTTTGTTTAGTTTTTTTTTGCACTACAGAGCATTTGTCAGTTGAAAACATGACACATACACATTGGCATCTCTTTAGGAAAATTCCGTCCTCTGTTGTGGTTTTGTGGCATCGTTGGCGGTGTTGTGCGAAAAAGTGAATGTTTGCGAGAATCTGATTAAGCTCGCGGGAGCGCGCACCGCAGCCGCTGAGCGATACCGTAAACCTGCTTTTCTCTGGATTAAACGGTCATGACATGCAGATACACACAGTTGCATTATAATATAGGCCTAATTAAATTATAATATAGGCCTAATTAAAGATTCGAAAGCTTAACGTTTGTCACATAACGGCAGTTACGTGACAGATATGTTTCTATACTCGGTCTGATGACTTTGTGTAGCCCTGACATTGGAGACTACACTACAATAAATATGATTCACATAGTCACTCAAAGGTTATTTCTACCTAAATATGACTAGATTTCCTTCAGGAGATGCATAATTTAAAGATATGAGCTCACAAAACAGCTTGGAACTCTTTTAAAGGACAATTACAACACAAAATAGCCATTTTGACTTGCAAAAAATTTATTAAAGCCCAAATGCTGTCATTCAAAGGGGATATCTGCTCAAATATGACTTGGTTTCATTCAGAAGCATCCTATTTTAAATAGAACAAGTCCTTTTTAGGCAAAAATCACCTTTCTTCAACCAAATTTGGCCTTTAATCAATTTCTAGCAGGG